GAATGCTGTGATCTGCGCGAGGCCGGGCGAGGCGGAGAAGACACAGGCGGCCTCGGCTCCCCAGCTCCCGGGAGCCGCCACCTGCGTGAGGCCTGAGAAGCTGCGTGTCTAACTCCTGCCTCAGAGAACTAGCATGTTCCTCAGTGTGTGCCCCATTCTGGGAAGGTAACTGCCAAATTCCACTCCGAACTAACAGCCTCCGCGCTCAGAAGTGAAGCTACGGGCCTGCCAGTCCTCAAAGGTGTCGGCCCGGGTGTAGCTGCCCCAGCAGCTCAGCACTCATCCCTCCACGCTCTCGCCACCCCCCCCCTTCCGCAGGCAGCTGAGCAGCGCGGGCTCCCTGGGTGCCGGCTGAGGGGGGAATTGCTCAGATGGAGCACAAGGGACAAAGGAGCACGTGTGAAATAACAGAATAATGTCGTAAGTCGCAAGGAGCTTAGACCATTAGGATTTTTTTAATGAGAAAGGTTCTCCCTTTCCCCATTTTTAATAATTGTCCCCAATTTTGAAAGACACCTCTTATGTTTCCTAGACAAGGTGAAAATGCATAAAAATATTTAACTTTTTTTTATTTTCATTGTGGAGCATACATAAAGAAAAGTACATCAAGCCCGGCCGCGTGGCTCAGTGGTTGGGCATCTATCTATGAACCAGAAGGTCATGGTTCAATTCCCTGGTCAGGGCACATGTCCGGGTTGCAGGCTCGATCCCCAATAGGGGGCGTGCAAGAGGCAGCCAATCAGTGATTTCAGATAGAGGAAGGGAGAGGGAGAAAGAGAAACATCAATGATGAGAGAGAATCATGTATTGGCTGCCTCCTGCACACCCCCTATTGGGGATCGAGCCCGAAACCCAGACATGTGCCCTGACTGGGAATTGAACCGTGACCTCCTGGTTCATGGGTCTGCCCTCAACCACTGAGCCACACCGGCTGGGCTGAATGTACATTTTTGCAGATAGTCTACACATCTGCACACATCTCTCTAAAGAATTTGAGTGAAGCTGTTAGTTCATAAATGTTCTTCAGTTGGACCAGACGATGCCACACTGTTTCTCAGCAGCTGTATCAGCGGACATTTCCCACCTGCGACGCGGACCGAGTCTGCGCTGCTCTCATGACTAAGACACTAAAGCACATGTCATATCTACTGGCCATTTGGGTTTTCTCTTGTGTGAAGGGCCTGTCAAGTCCTTTGCCAAGTTTTCTCCTGAGCTGTTTCTCTTCCTTATTGCTTTAGAGCCATTTTTTATTTGTAATCAACGCAAGTCCTGTGCTAACTGTATGCGCTGTAAAAACCTTTCCCCATTCTTTGGCGTGTTTTTTAAATACTTGTCTTTGGATGAAAATGGTTCTTAATTTTAATCAAGTCGAATGTAGCCACTTTCTCCTGTACAGTTCTCCCTGATGGCAGTGATGTTTACGTCTTGTATCAGACGCTTTCCTTCCTCAGCACGATGCAGACATTTTCCTATTTGTCTTCTAAGAAGTCTGACCACTTTGCCTTTCCCAGTGCGGGTTACACTTCCCGTGAAGGTGGCTTTTCCTAGGCTGGCTGCGTAGGCTCTGCAGTGGGTGTGTGTATGTTGTTTGTGTGTGTGTGTGTGTGTGTGTGTGTGTGTGTGTGTGTATGTTTGTGTGCGGGGGGGAGCGGGGGGTTCGGGAGGCACAGACCGCCTGTCAGCAGAAGCACCCGGACTTTTCCTTCAGGACACAGCCTGCACCCCACTTACTCTCCCTTCCCCAATGAGACGCACTCTTCTTCCTACACCTCAGCATTACTAACAACCTATGGAATTAAGAGATGAGAGAACAGTCTATTTTCAAAAGCTGTAAACCTCTTTAAAATGCTCATTTTCTGTGGCCAGGGGCCATGGGACAAATGTCAAATGCCACAGCCTGGTGTTCAAGGCGCTCTCCCCATCAACCATCTCCACCTGCCCTTCCTTACCCCGATCACTCCCCTACACAAACCCTACTACACACGAGGGTGTGCCCGGCCGGCCTGGCTCAGGGGGGGAGTGTCCACCTATGAACCAGGAGGTCAAGTTCGATTCCCAGTCAGGGCACATGCCAGGCTGTGGGCTCCATCCCCGGCGTGGGGTGTGGAGGAGGCAGCCGATCCATGATTCTCTCTCATCATTGATGTTTCTCTCCCTCTCCCTTCCTCTCTGACATCAATAAAAATATTCTTTTTAAAAATTGAACGGTGGGTAAATGAGTGTCGTGTCTTCTCACTATCTGTTTATCCTGCAAGATTCCAACACCAACAGCTTTAGCATGTATTTAGCACAGCGCTCCCAGACAACATACAGATCCAATTCCACAGGCACAACACGTGTCCTCACGCTGCAGACCATGCAGGTGTGGCTAACAACATAGGACACCCGCCCTCCTCTCTCTTCACAGTGCGTCCCACAAGGGCTGGTGTGTAGGACACATGGAAATACATCCACAGTTGACTCCACTTTAATATTCAGCGCTCTGCCAGAGGGTATTTAGGTAAAATCCTGCCAATTGTAGGGACGAACAAATATGCACCCGGAAATGGGTGAATTCAGCTGGAGGCCTTAGGAAAGCTGCTCACCAGGTTTCCAGTTAGTTACACTTGACCATATTCCATAAGGAAACACACTAGAGTCGCCCGCTTATAGCGGTTTATATGCTTCCATTTCATGCTACATGAAAAGGCTAAAGAGTCCAGAACACCACACACCAACGTGTTAGAAGTTCGTGGACATAAAATCCTCAGCTGGAAAAAGCTGATCTCAATGGGTTATCAAACTGGGGCAGGAGGAACGGGCACTGGCTTGAGCTGGAGCTCTCCAAGTAACACCACAGCAGAGCCCGCGCTCACAGGAGCCCCCAGTGACTGTTGTCCAATGAGCACATGGACATCAGAAAGTGGGCTTGCAATGACTACAGCTGTTTGAAAGGGAACTCTGAAAAGGGGAAATACAATCGCATTCTAAAAATATCTTTCAGGGAGATATCTGTAAAGCACTGTGAAGTGCCTGGGCCCTAGGCAGCTCGATATGAGGATTTGTCATTTCTCTTATCTGGTGAACTCGGTGTGGCTCAGGGTCTGTGCTGCATGAGCCAGGGCCACGGCCCCGGTTGGTAGAAGGACTCAGACGTGTGCGCACTGCTAGTGAGGCCGAGTTGTAGCACCTTCTATGTGGGAGAAAGAATATTTACAGGTGCACCCACCGCCGTCTTAAATGCAGGCGACCTCAGCAAGGCATTAACACAGCAGAGGAGAAGCAAGCTTAGCATGCATGCTACCACAACAAATGAGTCCCTTATCACCAACTGTCTCCTACCCTTTGCATTTATGAACTTCATAAAAACCTGCTGGTAAGAGTTATGTTCCTCTACGAATCCCAACTCTAAAGAAAATACCAGAATCCCAGTGGATACCTGGGCTGCAAAAGTTCTCCTTCCTATCGAAGCAGACGTAGCAACATGGGAGACGGCTGGGAAGTGCCGAGACGTGCTCCCCGACACTCTGGCGCGGAGATGAAGACGGAGTGTCTCCTGGCAGCTCTAGGGGGACCGAGTGAGACCGTATTCCTCCTGGTCTCTGAGGGGCCACACGCGGCCTGTGCGACGCACGCTCGACTTCTGGGGCCCAGAGCGACACTGCTGCCCCCGTCACAGAGCAGGGAATCAGGGTCAGAAGGTGGCCGCGCCTTCCACGGGAAACTAGCTCCGACATCTGTTTGCTGACAGTATTACAGTCAACTCTGGTTTTTTGGTTGACTTAAGGCACTACAACCTTTTATAAGAAATCGAGATTTTAAAAAGAAGATATCATTTTAAACTAGACACACGGGGCTCATCCCCATTTCAAGAAAATCCAGTTATGAAATCTGTGTTAAAGCGAACCCGAATTTACAAAGTGATCTCATTTACAAAGTTATGACTCAAAATGCATTGTGTCTATATGAAGGGAAAAGGCTGCTGAATACTTCGGGCTGGATGTAAGATCCAGTTATGAAATCTGTGTTAAAGCGAACCCGAATTTACAAAGTGATCGCCTCATTTACAAAGTTGTGACTCAAAATGCATTGTGTCTATATGAAGGGAAAAGGCTGCTGAATAGGTCGTGCTGGATGTAAGTGATGAGATGGACCAAAAATGCTCAATGATATACAGTAATTTACAGTGAAGGGCGTGGCTAACGATGTCACCGCGCAGTTTAAGCGAAGCGCTCAACAAGCGCCAAAGTGCCAGACACTGTCAGGGGCGGCTACCCGAGTGAGAACTGAAATACAACCCGGCAAATCAAGCAGCAGAGAGGATCCTCGCTGTAATTACGCTGCACTTTTCCTTCCATTTTCAAACAATTAACGGCTTTAAAAGTAACAGAAGGGCTCTTTTAATACAAGTAGGAGAATTCTTTTTTTTTTGGCAGTCACAATTACTGGGAAAAAAGGAATGGCTAAGGCAGAGAAATATAGGGAAAACATAGACCTCATTGTCAGATCTATAATATAATCTGTGGCAGCAAATAGATTCCTACACAATAAAGTATCTTCACCTAAATTTCAATTATTTGAATGAAATCTAGATTGGAGCTTCATTCCGTCTTTTATAGTTGGTTGTGCATCATTTCACATGGTTTCAGTACTTTCACCAAGGAAATACCTAGTTTATTGAAATCATTTTCTAATATTACAAGATTAAGCCAAAGTGTATCTCTTTTCAAGGAGTAAAATAAATATGAATAAAAAGGAAGCAAAATCTCCAAATATAACAAATAAGACAAAAGTACAGACTGAGCTAACTAAATGCCACTAGGAATATACATGGGACGCTAGCTTTCATGAGAAGAGTTTGCAAGGGGGAGCATGCTGGTCCTCCTTTTTGGAGCTTTGTTTTAAAACACCACTTCTGAATAGAGAGAAATCATTCTGAAAACAATCCGTCTCTTTCCTTTACGATACTGACGGGCAGCGGATGGAGGAGGATGAGGGCATCCTTCCCCCACAGCTAAAGCGCTATTAGCAAAAGAGAAATCGTATCGACATCCCTTCCTTTCACTTCATTAGTGGTTAGAGTTGTGGGCAATCACTGACATAATAACACAATTAAGACATTAAAACTGTAACTCATAGTGATAATTGTTTCTTAGAATATTAACTTAAAAACAGGGGACGTGATAGATGATGCTGGGTCTGTGGTACGACAGCCTCGTTTACTGTGTCCCCATGAGTAGGACACGCTTATAGCCGCAGTGGTTCATCCCATGCAACAACTGGATCCTCCCAAGAAATGATCCAGCCCGTCCCGAGGGGCTCAATGGTGTAGAAAGCAGTCCGATCCATGATTTCTCTCATCACTGATGTTTCGATCTCTCTCCCCCTCTCCCTTCCTCTCTGAAATCAATAAAAATGTATTTACAAACAAAGAAATGATTCAGGGAGAAGATGTATCTGTGACTGGTCTAGATCGGGGATGCAGGAACCCTCTAACAGTCACCGCTGTGAAATGAAAGACGTGGCTATGCCGGCGGGTCAGGCGGGGTGACGGTTACCTCAACAATGTCCGAGTTGGTCCTGCTCTCGTGCGGCTCGTTGTACTCGGTGTACTTGAGCAGCACCTTGTCCATGTCGGTGCTGGCGTACTGGAACAGCTTGTTGGAGCTGTTGAAGATGATGAGCGCGATCTCACAGTCACACAGCCAGCTGCAGGAGGCAGCCGATCCATGATTTCTCTCATCACTGATGTTTCGATCTCTCTCCCCCTCTCCCTTCCTCTCTGAAATCAATAAAAATGTATTTATAAACAAGGAAATGATTCAGAGACAAGATGTATCTATGACTGGTCTAGATCGGGGATGCAGAAACCCTCGAACAGTCACCGCTGTGAAGTGAAAGACGTGGCTATGCCGGCGGGTCGGGCGGGGTGACAGTTACCTCGACAATGTCCGAGTTGGTCCTGCTCTCGTGCGGCTCGTTGTACTCGGTGTACTTGAGCAGCACCTTGTCCATGTCGGTGCTGGCGTACTGGAACAGCTTGTTGGAGCTGTTGAAGATGATGAGCGCGATCTCACAGTCACACAGCACGCTGAGCTCATAGGCCTTCTTCATCAGCCCGAACTTCCTCTTCGTAAAGGTGACCTAGACAGGCCAAGGGGAAAGGCCGTTTTTATTAAAAGCTTTAGTAGTCACCCTGCCGGCGTGGCTCAGCGGTTGTGTCGACCCAGGAACCAAGAGGTCAGGGTTCGATTCCCAGTCGGGGCACATGCCTGGGTTGAGGGCTCCAACCCCAGTGGGGGGTGTGCAGGAGGCAGTCGATCAATGATGTTTCTCTCTCATCGATGTTTTTATCTCTCCATCCCTCTCCCTTCCTCTCTTTCTAAAAATCAATTAAAAACATATGTAAAAAGCATTAAGTAGTACTTGAATGTAGGCTCCCTGAAACTGAGTCTTCTTAATGCTGAGTGTGAGTTTGAAGATGGAAAAGGTTCCTACCTTCACCCCCCGCCCCACCATGCGCCTCTACCTCCCCATCTGCCATAGCACGACCGTCCCGTGTGGATCTGGTATCTCCATGGGCTCCAGGCCATAGTACGACAGTCCCGTGTGGATCTGGTATCTCCATGGCTCTGGGCCATAGCACGACCGTCCCGTGTGGATCTGGTACCTCCACGGGCTCTGGGCCATAGCACGACCGTCCCGTGTGGATCTGGTATCTCCATGGGCTCCAGGCCATAGTACGACAGTCCCGTGTGGATCTGGTATCTCCATGGCTCTGGGCCATAGCACGACAGTCCCGTGTGGACCTTGTACCTCCACGGGCTCTGGTAGGGCAGCCTCCTAGGGATTACTGCTTTGCCCCTGGCCCTGTTCTACTGCAGAAGGCAAAGGACCACAGAAGGAAACAGGTGCCAGTGGCTCTGACCGTCTGGCTTTAAATGGTTCCCACCAGAAACCCCAAGTCCTCCCTCCAGGAACCCCTCCTCCCTCGACTCTTCCCCACACAACTGAACTGAGCACATCTGACCTAACGCGTCCTCTCCCAGGCCCTCATGTTGCACCCACTGAAACGCACAGCCTAGGACCAGCCGCTCCCCGATGTCCTCCGAACGGTCTTCCCCTCCCTGCAGGCCTCTCCAGCAGAGACCCATCTTTGTTTGTTCAGCCTGTAGATACGTCCCTTTGCTCCCCAGTCTCTTCTAAATTATTTCTCCCTCCTTCCCCTTCAAAACCCAGGTACCCAGTGCACATGCCTGACGGAAACACCTGTACCTTCTCCCATCTCATGCCGCCCATTCGCCTCAACCTGCGGCCATCAGACTCCATTCCCCGTGATCCATGAAGACTTGTTAACGTCCCATATCCTTCCGTTTATGTGACTGAAGTCAGTGGTCACTTTTGTTCACAACTTAGTCTATATCTCAGCGAGGCTCCAGAACACGCCCGCTCCCCACCCCCCCCGCCCCCCACCACAGTCCCGGGGCCTGTTCCTGCCGTTCCTTCCTAGGGCGTCACCTCTGGCTTTCAGCACTTACAAGGCTTACTCAAGGCTAAGAAACAGGCTGCAGACACAGAGCAAGCATCAGAAGCACGGCAGACCTGCTGGAATCAGCCCTAGGCGGTGTGGCTCAGTGGGTAGAGCATTGGCCTGAGGACTGAAGGGCCTTGGTTCGATTCCAGGCGAGGACATGTACCTCAGTTGCAGGCTCAATCGCGAGGGAGGCAGCTAAGCGATGTGTCTCTCCCACATCGATGTTTCTCTCTCTCTTCCTCCCTTCCACTCTAAAAATCAATAAAAATAAAATTATATTATTTAAAGAAAAGGTCTAACCCACAGGAAGAACCTTGGTTCAATTCCAGTCGAGGACATGTACCTCAGTTGCAGGCTCAATCAGGGCACGCGAGGGAGGCAGCTAAGCGATGTGTCTCTCCCACATCGATGTTTCTCTCTCTCTTCCTCCCTTCCACTCTAAAAATCAATAAAAATAAAAGAGATGCTGGAATTATCAAACCAGCAATTCAAAACAGCTATGATTACCACACTACAGCTCTCATGGAAAAAGCAGACAGCATGCGGCAACAGGTAGCAGAGAGGGGGAAATTCTTTTCCTAAAAAATTCTTTTTAAATGCTGGCAATAAAAACACTAACATAAACGATTGTCTTTGATGGGAGGAAGGATGGAACTAATGAGGGAGAAACCTCCGAGCTTGAGGCCATGTCAACAGAAGCTGTAAATTGCAGCAAGAGAAGAAAGAGAAATAACAGAAGAAATATTTAAATCAGAACATTTGAGAATTCCCCCAAATTAATGTTAAGACACCGAACCACAGATCCGGGAAGCTCAAAGAACACCAAGCAAAATAAACGCAAACAACAAACAAACAAAAGCCCCTCCAAACCCAGAAACGACAGCAAGGCACATGATATTTAAGCTATAAAAACCAGAGATAAGAATATCTTGAAAGAAGCCAGAGGGGAAAAAGCACCTATCACATGAGTGTAAATGTAAGAACTGCATCCAAGTTCTCCTCAGACACACGCAATGCGGACGAGCACGCTGATGCGCTTCAAGTGTCGGAGGGCGGGGGACGACCCACCAACCTGAAATTCTGTATCTTGAGAAATTGTATTTTAAAAGAAATAAAGACCTTCTCAGACAAACACAAATTGTGCACAAGCAAAACACAGTTTATTATTGTATTATTTATTACTAGTGGCCCAGTGCATGAAATTTGTGTATGGGAGGGGGTGTCCCTCAGCCCAGCCTGCATCCTCTCCAATCTGGGACCCCTCAGGGGATGTCCAACTGCTGGTTTAGGCCCAATCCCAACCGGCAGTCGAACAACCCTCTCATAATCCGGGACTGCTGGCTCCTAACCGCTCACCTGCCTGCCTGATCGCCCCTAACCGCCTCTGCCTGCCTGCCTGGTTGCCCCTAACGGCCCTCCCCTGCTGGCCTGGTAGCCCCCAACGTGCATATGGCTGGGGTCCCTCAGCCTGGCTTGTGTCCTCTTGCAGTCTGAGAGCCCTCAGGGTATGTCCTTGGGGGAGTGAGCCTAAGCCAGCAGTCAGACATCCTTAGCTCTTCTGTGGAGGCGGGGGGGGCCGCCACCCAC